CCCCATTATTCTGCAATAGATAAATGATCTCTAAAACACTGCAAATATTTGAGACTCCAAATTTCAGAAGCTCAAAGATAAAATGGAGATTTTCCATAGGAGCACACCAAAGGAGTAAAAGATCTGAAAAACATAACATTTACGAAATAGCTGAAAACAAAACAAATACAAACCAACCAACCAACCAACCAAGCAAACAACAACACAGACTCTGCACTTTTAACCTACAGACTACAAAATCAGGAAGGACATGACAGCTGTCTTCAAATATTTAGGGATTAGTTATGTGAATGGGAGGATTCCTTTTGTTTTTGTTTTTTGTTTGTTTTTTAATCTGGCCATGTTAAGATCAAGAGACACTAGTTATAAAAAGCAGACTGCAGTCTAATAGAGAAGATAACTTTACAATAACTATTGCTTTCCAAAAATATAATAAGCTGCATGTCACCTTGAGAATTCTATCCAAAAAGGCTAGATAATCATGTATTGGAGAAATACTTATAAGAAGGCAGCTCAGTGGAAGAAAGGCCTGGCAAACTGCTTCTGTAAAGATTATAGCCAAGAAAATTTTATGCAGCAGTTCTACTCTGTCACATGGGGTCACCATAAGTCGGAATCAACTAGAAGGCAATGGGTTTAATACCATTTCAAAATTGGATTATATCTAAGAGATCAAATGTAAATGATTATAAAGCCTTTTGTATAAACTAGGTTAAATTCTCACCTCAAACCAAAAACGAAATAGCTACTGTGTGTCTACAGATACCAGGTAAAATAGAACATGACAGAATAAAGAAAACAAACATGCATTAAACTCTAGTAACTGTATTAACAGATGCTCTATGTTTATTAGTTCATTTAAGCATTGTGAGAACAAAATTCAGATTTTATGTGCATTTGCCAGAAAGGAATGCAAACAAGAAATATTTACTGATAATTTAATATTGTGAAACAGAATTAGTACAGTTAATGGGAAAAATGACCAAAATATATAAAATTTGTTCTTAAACATTATGAATTAAATATTTCAGACTGTGAGTGACTCAGCTTTTCTAGAGATACAGTTTCTTATGAAGTGTTTACAAAGCATCTCCTTGCATTGCAACGGCAATGAGATAAACATACACAGAGGATCAAGCCAATATTTCAGCAGTTATTACAAAGGAAAATGATGAACAAAAGGCACTGAACAACAAGGAATTCAAGCCCAGCTCAAGCAAGAGTTTAAACCATAAAATATCAAAAGAGTTTTATTTCCACCACTTGAAACTCAGAACCAGGCAGTTAGAAGGCATTCAGCAAATATTTATGGAATGAAAGCATGAACGGATAAATGAAGGAATGACCACCAATGACAAAGTTGGAGAGTTGTAAATAACAGATACTGTGAGCTGTTATAGCCAAGAAAATACCTCCCACATATATGGCATGAAAAGAGTTGCTTTTCTTTTTAAATTCAGATCTGCAAGGCAACTGTTCTTACTCTCCGTTCTGTTTTTGCAAATAAAACACAATATACACGAAGGCTAAACATCTGGAGAATGACTAAATTCTTACAGAAACTAATTGACTTGCCTAGGTATTTTATTATCATGAAGACATGAACTCTATTATGGTTTTCCCATCTGCTTAAAAGATGAGTCTCTCTACTATTCAGTCTTGAATCAGTAATATAATTAATTAACCTTGAAGTCCTTTAAAAAATTTTAATGTTTCAACTAAGAATTTAGAAAACTTTCCAATTCAATTTTGAAAGATAAAAATGTAGTTCAGCTTATCTAATCTTTAGATGCACATGACATATTCTCATATGTCACTTCTCATATGTAGGCTCTTGGGGAAAAAGGGAAAGCATAGTGCATTTCCTTGTAAATTTGAGCTTGCTGGGGAAATTGAAAACAAGTTTTAAAAAAAAGCTGTAATTGTTCTTATTACACAGCCAGTATTGCCACACAATTATTTTGCCTGGTTCTAAATAGTTGAAACTAGCAATGTCTTTACACAGAAAACAAATAAGAGCAAGAAGGGGCATTTAATTTTTGATAAACATTTTACCAAATTTCCCTCCTGCCACCACACCTAGAACGCATTTTCTTTCAGTGGCAACAAAGCTCGGATGTCCTGGAAAACCAAGAAAATCCCGAATCTCTAAATTTAAGTGTGTGTCTCTCTCTGTCTCATATCTCAGCAGTCTTACTAAGAAAACTATACGCTTGAAAATAAAACAGCTGAGAGATGCAGTTAAGAAGAAAAAAACAGTTGTCCAATACAAGATTATATATCATCTCTTACTTGTTGTGGATATGTATATGTGTAGTTAATTTTCATACACACACATGCACACACACACGCACACCCACACGCACATACACGTGCACACACACGCGCGCACACCCACATGCACACACGTGCACACATGCACGCACATGCACACGCATGCACACACGCACATGCGCACACATACACGCACACACATACGCATACACACACAAACGCACACACACACATACATGCACAGACACACACATACACACACACACACACTCCTTCATTTCCTTCACCTTAAAAACTTAATTTCATTTCGAATCTCTTTTGTTTAAGAAATAAAAGGCAACTAGAAATGACTATTACTTTATAAAAATTTCAGAAGTCACGTAGAATTCTTAGAAAATAATTATAATTGACTTTAACATGCTATCAATTTGTAAAACACCTCCAAATTTCAGAGATTATTTAAATGTGAAAGAAAAGTGTGTCTTGAAATCTATGAATTACGATGGTGGAAAAAGAGAATGCTTTTTAAAGAAAGATCTCCTTGGGATTCTGACTCCACCTCACATGAGTTATGCAGCCTTAATGCTTCTGAGTCCTAACTTTCTCATAACTCTTAACTGAAACTTAGGGTAACATACACTTAGTGCCTGGTACACAGTATAAACTCAAGGAACACAAGTTACGTTACCTTGATCATGTTGGAAGGCACAACCTGGCAGCACTTAATTCAATCTCTTTCAGGAAGGAAGCCAAGCACCACTGGTGGGTAGTCATGTTTACAAAATATCTAGGAATCTCTGAGAAATTATCATAATCCACCATAATCACCCAATCCTGGAATTTACTAACAATTTAAACATCGTATCACCCTTAATGTAAATCTCTTCTATATTTTATCTGGTAGGCCTGGCTCTGTCTTTTGTGGATGAAAGTAAACTCCATGTTTTAATCATTCGTTTATTTTTTAAAAATTATTCTTTCAGAACGCACACTTTTTTTTTTCAGGATGAGTAATTCCCATCTCTAAATTGTTAAAACTATTAGCAAGAATGATACTTTTTTTTTCAAATCTAGATTAGAGTTGGGATTATAGTGGGATTCTCACATCATGGTTTCTACACTATAACACAATTTATCTCCTATTTTTTAAACACTTTTTTTATTTATTAATTATAAAAGAAATTTATTTTTGGTAGAAATTTTGAAAATACTGAAAAATGATAAAGAACATAATAAAAAATGCTTACCTAGAAATGGTCATTGGTAACATTTTGTCTATTATTTTCTAGTCTTTTTTTAATAAGAGTACACTTGTACACACGCTCAGTGTATACATGTAATATTCATGTCATGTAAGTACTTTTGTACACTGCTGCTTTCCCTTAAAATATATCATGAACATTTTTCCATGTCACTGAATTTTCCTCAAAAATATTAATTTAATGACTGCATAGTATTGCACTGAATGACTATACCATGATCTATTAAGCTGAAACTCTATGATTAGATACTTATAATGTTGTCAGTTTTCCTATAGGGATCTCTGATGAACATAATAAGTTAAATTACTTCTGAGTAGAGCCACTGGGTCACAGAGTATCAATATCTGTAAGAGTTTTAAAACATATTGGTAAAGAGCTATTCAAGATGTTCAATTTCCATTCCTCCCAGCCATACAAGATACAGCAGGTTTCCCTGCACCCTTGCAATGCTAGTTATTATCATTTAAAAAATTTAAGCCGTATTCCATTGATTACTGGTGATAATGATTTTTTTTTTTTGCCCTTATGTTTCATAATTTGGATCAATTGTCCATTCTTCTGCTGGCACATTTATAATTTTCCTATTGATTTGTAAGAACTAATATATATTAAGAATGACAGTTTTTCTATCACATATATTTCAATTTATCTCCTATTTATACCAGGCAGCATTTTTATGCATAACTTACATCTATTCGAACCACTTTCTAAAATAAAAATACTACATCCAATTGATTGCGGAACGTGAACTTAACATATTAACTTTCTTCTATGTTTTATGAGTCACCAATTAAAATAAGAAAAATAAAATCAGATGTTTCTGGTAAATAATAACTATATTAAGGAGTGCTGTCAGTATCGAATCTGCTGTGAAACGCTATGTTTCTACTCAACTTTTGCAAATGCCAATCTTATTTTTACTTACCCTGAGTAAGTGACGTGATTGCAGAATTCCATGAAACCCTCTCTTTTAGCTATCTTTTTCCCTTAAGTTTTGTCTTTCTAACTTAAAAGAAAGTTTCCACATATATCTGTATTTTACAAATGCAAATTCTTAAAAAAAAATAATAATGGCCTCTTACACCTTAATGAATTAATCCCTTTCCTCCATCAGACAAGGGTCACTGCTAATAAGAAAACATTCGGTATTGGGAGATGGAGCAAGAAATCCTTAAAGAGGAGTAAAAGCGACTGAAGATAAAATTAATTATAACTTTTCAAGGTTATCCTATTCTTAGTATACGTATAAATTACAACAAAATTTAACATCTTTTTTTTTTAAGAAAGAAATCCGTAAGCTTTCAGAGAAGATTCGACTGTTCTACAAACAGAGGTCTGTGATAAGCACAATCTCAGACAATACCACATTTAGTTTCACCATGCAACTTTTGCATAAAATGTAAATTCGTTTACACTAACAACAGTGGAAGGTTTTTCCCAGAAAAGTCAAAGAGCATAACTCACCACATCCCGGAAGACAACGGCACGGAGGCGATTGATGTCCACATCCTGAAGGAGTCTATCCGGGTCTTTAATAGGAGAAAGGTTACCTGGGACACTTTCTAATGGAGTCTGGAAAAGAAAGAGAGTTGTGAAAAATCAAGTATTTCATAAAATCACACAGTGGTAATCATTTCTAATATCTTCAGTTTCACCAGCCTCCACTTCTATCTTCTCTCAGATGTCAACGGGCCTCTTCCTTTACCTCCTTATCACTGCGTGACATCTGTGGACAACAAGAACCTACTGCAAGGCACTTACTTTTAGTGTTCACCTCTATTCATGTCACAGTTTTACTCACTAGTTTTCTGGTTCACCATCAGCATAGCTACCATTATAGACCCAGAAGGGCAGATCAGGTTGTAGCAGGAGAAAAAGACTGACCTTGGACTTCAGAAGATCTGGCCTCAAGTCTTTGCTGTGTGACCTTGGGCTTGTTACTAAATCTCTCGGAGGTTCACTTTCCCTACCTCTAGTCATTAAATCTCAGAGTCTCTGGGCTTATTTATCCATTTTGCTTTTATAACACATGAGATTACTATGTTACATCATTACATGAACTTTTATATGTGTAAGCATTTCACAAGCTATAAAAAGATAGACAGTTAAGCTGTTTTTTTTTAATTTCAGTCATGCCTTATTAAAATTTTAAAAATCATTACCAACAAAATCCTTTTTATAATTGAAGAAACAAAAGTCTATAAATTTTAGGTAATATATAATATAGCAAACTAGTGAGAGAGCCAGGTTTATTGAAACTCAATCTAGTACTTTTTCACTTATACAATGTGTTCAAAATTTTGCAGATAAAATTAAATAATATCAGTAAAGTGTAAAATACAATTCCTGCACATGTTAGTATGTATCAGTTGTTACTCTAACCAATTTAAAAAAAGAAAGACCTTCCTCTACTTCTCTATAGATCTGAATCACAATATTTTACTCCTAGATTGAGATGCTTGACTCCTCTGCAGCCTATGATAGTGAAAAGAGCAAGGTATTGAAGTCTGATGGTTGTTTGGTTTCCATTACAATTCCAAAACTCACCAGATAGATGACTTTGGATGAGATACTTCACCTCTCAAATCCAGTGAGAGGAAGTGGAGTTTGGTTTATATCTCATGTAAATAATATGCGAATAATGTTTATCAAAGGAAGGTTAACTAAAATAAAATAGCACATATAAAGTACATAATTTACAGCATTAATGAGAAAGATTTAGAAATAATTTATATAGCACTTTACATTTTCCAAAGTGTTTTTATATCCATAATCTAAGTAGGTCCTTATAAAGGCTATGTGATAAGAAAAGCTTGTATTGTTGTTTCTTTTTACAGAACATAAAAATGAGGCCCAATGAAGTTACTTGACTCATGCAAGTCTGTACAAGTTAGTGGCGAAGTACTTTTCCGACCACACCAAAGTTAGCTAAGGCTTACTTACTAACATGCCACAGAAAAAACTGCATTAGCACATGAAGGAAAAATAGAAAACCCACCCAGCAGGCTCATTATAGATTTATTCTGTCTTGAATTCTGTCTTGTTACCAAGTCAGCTCTTCCCCAAAAATGTTCCTCACATCCATCACGTAATAGCCATTTTTCTCTGCCAAAGCTCCTGGCAGAGACACTGAGCAGTTCAACTAAACCCTACATATGTCCTTCTCACTGGGCTCTTCCGTCCATACTCTAAAATCAGAGTAACACTTGGCTCAAAAGTCTTGAAAGGCTCCCTATTACCTACTGAATTAGGTACAGACACCACTGAGATCAAAGCTCTGCAAAATATTAACTCATTTCTTCATTGAATGAGTATATACTGAGTGGTTAACTGCCAGAAAAGAGGAAGGGAATCAGTATTAATTGAATTTTCATTGCATGCCAAGAATTACTAAGCACTTGAATTCATTACTGCTTTTTATTCAATATAGATAAACACCATGTAAAGTAAGATTTCTACCAATTTTATAGACTGAAAATCTGAGGCTCAGAGACAAAGGAATATGTCTTGGGTTGCACAATTAGTAAGCGGCAGAGTCAGGATACAAACTCAGAAGTGTCTGATTCTAGAGTTTGTGCCCTTTTTACGAAGTACTCACAGTGCTACACACGCCATGGAGTTGTTACAAGATGTTCGAGATGTGGGTGCTGCCCTGAAGCAGCCTGCTGTCTACTACACCCACACGATTAACAGAAGGTATTGTTGCTGCCTCCTTTATATGTGATTTTCTAAGCAATGGAGAGAGCTGTGAAGTCCTGTGAGCAGTAAAATATGGTCAAAAATATTTTATAAATGTTTCTCTGTCAGTAGTGAAAAAGAAGAGGCTGTAATACTGAATATAACCAACATACATTCTTAATATGTGGTTATTCTGCTTGAAAATTGTAAAATTTTAAAGCAATAGAACTTTTAAAATTAAACTTCTACATCTTGCCTTTACTTACTGAGCAAAAATTCACTGTGTCAATATGAAACATATAATTATGAGTTTAGTGCGGATTCAGAGAAATACAGGGTATTATGAGAAGACCCAACAAAGAAACCTACCCTCGGCTGGGCTGGAGGAGAGGGTGTAGGAAACGCTGTCCTCAGAGAGTGGCATTTAAGCTCAGACCTAAGCAGTGAATGGATTTTAGCCAGGTGAAAAAAAGGGTGAATGTTTCAGGTAAAAGGGAATCTACACAAAAGTCTAAATGACGGGGAAGCAATGATTCTTTTGACGAATCTGACTCAAGTAGTAAAGCAAGCGTGAGGAGACAGAGGCTGAGGCTGGGAGGTCAGCGAGGGCCAGGCATACAGGCCTTGGAGACTATGCTGACAAAACTCGGCACGGGAGGCAGTCAGTGAAACGTTCTCAAGAGACTTAATTTAGAACAAAAATTACTGGAATATTCCCAACTACTCTACACCACTCACTCACATACTGGCCATTCAATCATTTTTGTTGATTACAGGACGGTCCATCACTATACCCATTTACAAAGAGCACCAGGCATGCACTGATCTCTGTGAAAACATACGTAACTAGGAAGAATAATCACTGAGAATTTTTAGAGCTGCATGTGGATATAATCCTTATAACAACCCTATGAAGCAGAAATTATCGCTATCCTCCTTTTATAACCAAAGAACTGGGGTCTCAGAGACGTTCAGTAATCTTGGCAACACAATTGTTAAGTGGAGAAGCCAGCAACGGAGCCTACAACTGACTGATCCCACTAAGCAACACCATGTTACTTTGTTCTCCTAAATTTAAAAAAAAAAAAAATTCTTTTAAAAAGGTAAAATTACCCAAATGCCCATCGACAGATGAGTGGATAAACAAAATGTGGGCACACGCGCAACTGAGTATTATGAAGTCCTGACACATGGCAGGACACGGGTGAACGGAAAAGACACTCTGCTGGCTGAAGTAAGCCAGACGCAAAAGGACAAATATCGTATGACCCCACTTACATGAAATACCTAAAACAGGCCGATCTTTCGAGATAGAAAGTAAATTAGTGGTTTCCAGGAAGTGAGGTCGGGGAGAAGGGGGAGTTACTGCATAATGGATACAGGATTTCTGCTGGGGAGGGGCCGTGAGAGGTGCTGGTGACCCACCGTGGCGAGAGTCGCACTGCAGTGTGATTATGATTGGTGCCACGGAGTCGTACACTTAGCAAATGGTTAACACGGCAAATCTTCTATCATATCTATTTTACCAGAATGAAGAAAAAGTACATGTAATAGAGCAAATGTCTAATTACCTTGGAAACGCCCGTGGCAGCCACACTTTGGGGAGCTTCTGGAGGCTTGCTGCCCCCGTGGGAAGATCTGCTCCCCCTGTCTCTCTGTCTCTGTCGGCATTCTAAGCAGTTTCTCACAGCAACACAACAAACTATTTAAAAAATTGAGAGCATATTATTAATATAAATTGCGATCATGATGTGTTGAAAAAATAGTTTCTTTTTGTCTTTATTTCCCTTCCCCCAAACTATCTTATCCTTCTTAAAATCAGCTAGATCAATAATTGTTTTAAATTATGAAACACAGTAACAAAAAAATATATATAACACATATATGTATTTAAAAAAGGAAAACAACATACCCATATACCCATCAACCAGGTAAAGAAACAGATTAGCAGGCACTCTAAAGTCCCAGTATTTCTCCTTCCATCCTCAATTTTATGGCTCAATTTTTTTAAATTTATAATTCATTAATTCATATTTGATAAAAACTTTAATAATCAGGCTCTGCCCTTGTGTGACTAACTCGGTGACAAGGCTGAGCACAGTTCCCAGTGCAGGCAGCGATACAGTACGAACGTACTATCAAGTTTTACAAATTCCAGTAGGCACCTTTCTTCATGGTGTGAGAGTCCATGGCTTTTGTCAATAAGCATTCAAGAAGTACAAACTTTTTTTTCCTTATTTTTTTTAAGAAACAGTATAGTACAGTATAGTAGTAAACAGTACCATCTTGGGAATCAGAGCACCTGGATTTGAATCCTGTCTCTGTCATTTATGAGCTGTGTGATTTTGGGCCAGCTGCTTCAACTATCTGTGCCTCAGTATCCTCATGTGTAAAATGGGGGTAAACAGTAACCTCCTTAGAGAGCTGTAGTGAAGATTAATTGAACTAATACGTATAAAGTGCTTGGAACACCAAACAGCATATAACGAGTAATAGTCAAATGTTTGCTTTATTACTCTTCACTTATAAAAGTTTTCGAAGGTGATGAAAACTAAACCTGCTAGGACTGTTTAGGACAAAAATTAAATCCGCAGTAAAGTCTTGGAATATATTCAGAAATACAAGCTCAGAATAACCAAACAAAAGCTCTTTCAAGATACTGAGCCATTAAACAACAACAAAAATACATGCAGAGATACAAGCTCAGAATAACCAAATAAAGGCTCTTTCAAGATACTGAGCCATTAAACACCAACAAAAATATATGCAGAGATACAAGCTCAGAATAACCAAACAAAGTCTCTTTCAAGACACTGAGCCATTAAACACCAACAAAAAGCCAGCATCTCTCTCTCACAAAGTTCAGTCTATCAGTTATTCCTAATTATCAACGGAAATGGCCATGATGACCGGTAAATTTCACCCACACCTCTTGAGAGATCACTATGTGGTCAAACTTTTCCTCATAATGGATATGAACGATTCTTCTCAAACTACCCATTTTAAAAAAAAAAAAAAAAAAAAGCAGACTTGTTTCTTCCATCATTCTCAAAGCGAGTCCTTCTGCCTTCCTTGCATCAGAAACAGCTTCTCGCCAACAACTCTACACCTGCACATTTCTACACAATCTTTAAAAATTATGGGTAGAAAGAGTGCAACTCGGAATTCCCTCCCTAACTCACCCCTTAGGTTCCCACGTCCTGCTCAGGGTCTAAGGCAAGCATTACACGGCAGCTCTCTGGTCTCTTCCGAAGTCTAAATATTATAAATAAAAATTTCTTCTAAAGATCAGACTGGACTATAAGACATAAAATGATACTTGTGAAGAGTGTGCTTCTTAGTTCAAGTACATACAAGAGACTAAACGGGCAGCTTCTGTCCGGAGGTGAGATGGGAAGGCAGAGAGGGTCAGAAGCTGGTTGAATGGACATGGGAAATCAGGGGTGGAAAGGAGGAGTGTGCTGTCATAGTATAGGAAGAGCAATTAGGGTCACATAACAATGTGTGTATAAATTTTTGTATAAGAAACTAACTTGAGCTGTAAACTTTCACCTAAAGCACAGTTTTAAAATATCTTCTTCTTCTTTTAAAAAAGGTAAAAGGTAAAACTGGTCCCCGCCCAAAGAGCTGGCTTGGATTTACTCCAGAGCTTTCAGCGCTCAATTTTCTTTGTGCCACAAGCTAGAAGGTGAACAGCAGGGTAAAGTAAGCTTTGTTAGTGGTACCTGTTCACCCTGAACACGCAGTGAGATTTGCAGCATCAACTTAATCCTTCAAGCATTATGTGTATAAAACTATGTCATTACTATTCTGGTATTTTTATGGGCCCAGGACAACTATCCCCACTATTAGTTATGTCAAAATAGGATTCATAAACTGATTTGCAACAAAATCACTTTAATGGAAAATGTTTTAGTCCTTTTGATTTTGAAAGAATTCAAAAATATATTTGACTCTATTTTAGGTCATAAACTATTAAAGATTATTAAACCCTTGAAACCTTCCAGTGTGAAGATTTTTCTTTTAATCTGAGTAATTCTCAAGAATTACAAGGTAGAATCTCTATTAAATAAACCACAACTTGCATCAGTACTTTATGTACCACTAGAGCTTCACAAAACCAGCTTGTAGATAATTATTCCATGTGCATGCCCCGTTATTCTAAACAGACTTACCTAGTCGTAGGCACTGCCGCATTAAACCTCCAGAAGACATGTTTTTTTCAGCTTCAATCTCGCTAAAATTTAGAGAGCTGGCAAACACGAGTACATCAACCATAGCCATCAGTCGGCTGAGGAAAGTGACTGCTGTCTCAGCTGACATGCCTTGTGTCACTTCAATATTTTCCAATTCAGTCTTAAAAAAAGGAAAAGATTTAGTCTTGTTTAAAATTTGGAAATATAATACATGTATATATATAAATGACTTTAATAATTCAGATGAGCATAGTTTAGTATGTTGTATAAACAAAATGAATTATAAACTAATTCTGTATATCATAAGAACTGGTTATAACATTTAACTATTTTACCTGTGAATTATACTTGAATAAAGGAAAAGCCCACTTTTGAAATCAGTGGTAGACTGAACTGTTATTACTAGTAAAAGCTACATTCTAAACTTAAGATAATTTCACAAATTTAGAGAACAATCACACGTGTACTTATACTATTTTAATGCGTTTTATTGTATTAATTTACAAAGATATAAAATGGATATTTCTATTCTAAAATCTTTACACTCATTTACAAGAAGACATGCCTTAATTATTTTACTTTTCTAGAAATGTAGGATGAATAATAGAGAAGATAGACGGTAATTCCATTTGGCATCAAAATGAGATTGACTCTCACAGTAGAACGTATGACAATCTCTTCTCCATTTCAGAATAAACCGAGACACTAGATACTTGACGAGCACAATAAAATGCCAGGACAAAAATCAACATCATTAACCCTCAACAGGTATGTCATCCACGACCTGCGTATAACACAGGAGCAATACAATGAACCAGTAGCATTCTGGATTGGGAGCTACACTTTCATCAAAATATTGTCTATGATGAAATATAATTTACTGCTTTCAGAGGGAATATGACAAAGTATTTTGTTTCTCAAAACGTGTAACTGTGTCATTTTATAAGCAGTGGCAACATCTCTTATTTCATTTTTCATTGTGCAGTTTATAACATTTTAATTATTATGATTCATTAAAAGTAGGTCTCATTTTCTCAGTGCCTCTAGTAATGGAGAAGAGTAAGGAATGTTTTATTAAAAAAAAAATATGACTTTAAATATTCTGAAAACGGGCACAGCAGCTGTATTGCTCACCCTTACTTCTTTACCAAGGAGGTAAGCATATGAACTAGGGACTTATTTAGTGTTCCATTTTGACACTGTTTATACCCATCATTCTATCTAAACTTCTCCCTGCTCACATTAAGGTGAAAATGTCAGTGGGAAACACTGATTGGACCAAAAAAAAAAAGAAAGAAAGAAAGAAAAAAAACCAAAAACCTTTTAAACATTTTCTGTATATAAAACAAGTAACAAAAATGATAGGGGACTACTGCAAGCATTATAAAATTACACTCAGTGCTAAACAGAGTATAAAATGTGACAACCTTTCTTCTTTCCGTTTAACTTCAAAACAGTGTAAAAACCATTCTCTCTAAAATGAGCATGGATGTGGAAAATTTGTTTTGAATTGTTGATTTACAACACTATGCTAATTCAGTACCCGTGGCCATAAGAAATGACTAATTCATTACTAGGAATTTTTTCACAGAGATTCCTGATTTCCTAGCACTTTGCTGATTCACAGCATCGTTTCATTGCATAAATTAAAGATCTGTGACCACAGCACAATAGTTTTAAGAAAAATTCATTTTCTATAAAATTGCTTTCAAATCTCAGTTATCAATATAAATGTTCTACAATGGAATGAAAAATCTTACTCAGGCCTATCAAATAATATTTATATAAACCTTTATTATTTATAAAATATTTATATAAACATAGTATTTATTAGTTAATGATTTTATTTTCAAGTTGTTTGTTGGTCTACAAAGGTCTAAACTTCAGAATACATTTTGATTTGGAAACGAGTGAATTGTAAGCAGAATTAGTAAATTGTCCATGTAACTTACCAAACATATATTTTGACTACAAAAAATATTTAAAAATTTATAAAGCATTATTGCTGTCAACAATAATATAAAAGAGAGTTTTTATTACATTCTACATAAAAATAAGCTATAAATGATGAATTATTATGTAGGCATCATAACATAGATTTAAAATGAAAGATAACTCACATAGGATTATGATTAAATCTTAAAATAACATATTCTATCCAGTTTCCTTTCATTGGAACTGGTTAAAATCTGACTTCACATATGGCTGAACATTACTGTTTTAGTTATACAATGGTAGTTTAGTCTAGAAATTACTGTGAACAAAAGAGTAATTCAGTGATATGTTAATAAATTAATTTTTAAATAAATCTTTATATACACCAAAGATATGCCCAATGTTAAAGGTGATATGGAAACTCAAAACATAACCAAGTCAAAAATTTCATAAATAATAAAAAATAAAATTTTAAAACTGAAAACCTGAAAATTACTGCAGAAGTAATACTAACCTTAGAACCCTGGACATGCATTAGACAGAGCAGACGACAGACCAAAAAAGTACAAGAAAAGGAAAATATTAAAATTAAATGAAAATACAATGTAAAATTGAAACAAAATAATATATTTGGAAAGTATATTTATTAAATGCAAAAATTAATACTCAGAAGAGATATTCATTTTTTAAAATGACACATTCAGATTAAACATCAAATATTTAGAATCCTATTTACATTTTTCATGACAGTGACTCTCCCCAAATAATACATACACTAGTATGGTTCATATACTAGGAATTACGCTTTTTCTTAGCAGATGCCGGATGACGTATCTTGATAAATAAACTAACGTAACATCTCTGCAAAAGCCCCAACTCAGACTGGTTCAGACAGAAATCAATCAGGGAAAGGAGCTATTTATACCAACCTTCTAGTTTTTTCATGAAGGAATTCATGTTATCATTTGTTTCCTCAATTCCATAGATCAAAAGCCCCATAAGTAATAAAAGAATAAAACAGTTTCATGATACAGCCTAAAATGGACTTTCCCGTGCCAGAAAAGAACTTCCTGATACAGTAAATGAGGCTTGTACATGAACCGAGATAACTAAGTGAATACTGAACTAATTTCAGAGTCTTAATAAATTAAGAAGAATTATTGAAACCAAACACATGTGAATGTAAATTTCAAAATATGTGATTTTCATGGTCCACATATACAAAAACATATCAGTATCCTGAAATACTGAAGTGTGATCAGTGTTATGAGGTAAGCAAAGCCAAGCAAAGATAAAAACATGATCACTAGTCTTTTTTCAAAATCGATTAACCACATATTCTGATCATTCTAAGAAAATATAAAGAAACTAAAATTAAGACCTTGTCATCATTTTTGGACTGAAAAGTGAGGGCTGCTCGTCTTTCTTATGATCACGAAGCTCTCAGGAGAGTCAGGAATGCCAGTCTCTATCATTTTTCTGGGACAGACAAAATTAAACCAAATAGGACCCTGAGTGACATCGAACCACACGTGACACCGAATTAAACCCGACACAGTCAGCGTTCTGGGTGGTTGACTAAAATGGTCAACTCGAAACCACAGAGTGATTACGCATTTTGTGGTTGATCCATGTTCTGTGCGGTCACTTTTCTTCTCCAATTCTTAGCTTTCATTCATGACCAACTCCAATAACGTGGCCGAGAATAAGCGAAAGGACTCAACTCAATGGACAAGAAAACATTAGCTCAAAAAATTCCACAACAACAAAAAATAATGATCCTTCCCACAACCAAAGACTGGTTAAACTACATACCAAGAAGTCCATTTTTCCCCCGAGCATTAAACTTAAAACTATCAGTGTAATTTAGACTTGAGACTACTTTGTAATTTATTTTCTATGCCACATATGATCTAAACCAACCTAGGCAAAACCAAAAACTCCAATAAAATATTGCTTCCTCAATGAATATTAAGTTCAAGAGGTTCATTATTAATAAAAATAGTGTAAAACAATACACTTTTTTTTTCCCATAGAGTTTCCATTAAAATATTTCCTTACCAGCAAGAGTAAATGTGGTATAAATGGTTAACACTCTTGGCTGCTGTCCAAAAAGTTGGGGGTTCAAGTCCACCCACAGGCACCTTGGAAGAAAGGCCTGGCAAACTACTTCCAAAAAATCAGCAATTAAAAACTCTATGGAGCACAGTTACCCTCTGACACACATGGGGTAGCCATGAGTCAGAATTGAATCAAGGGCAACTGTTTTTGCTGTTGTTTTTTTAAGATCAAACAGTTCAAAATGTTTTCCATGATGATAGTGTAACAGCAATACACGTTACCTCTAATATAGATTACTGTACTCATCTGAGGTTCCACACCAGAAAACAGACCACCATTACAAATCATATGGAACAAACAGACAAAAAGATTACACCACTTCAGTCTTTCGCTATCAAAATGGATCTTACATAATAGCTGAATTTACTTCAACTACCTCATTTTAATCTTCAGAGGTCTGAATATGACTAGCTTATTTTATAAACTGGAAGATTATTCTATCATTATAGAATTCTGAATAAACGATTTTAAAAATAAAGAAAGGAAACATGAAGCGCCTTCTCCATGCAGTGCACTTTACATATATAACCTAACTGAATTTTCTCAAACTCCCTATGGTATAATTCAGACCTTTTATTAGTGAAGAAACTCAAGTTGAGGTCAGATCTAGTAAGTGGTGTGGCCCGTGTTAGAACACAGATGTATCTAACGCCACAGACCACACACCTTCCACTAGGTCATAATAACTCAAAAAAGAAGTCATGTCTGTGTCTCAGTGGTGTTGGGGGAATAAGCTTAACGAGTTTGTTTTTGAGGAAAAGGAAACCCGCACTTATTCTGAGCAATGGAAAAGACACATTTCTGGGTTGAGGTCTGGGCTATTATTTTTTAAATGGGGAACTATCAGGAATACTTAGCATTCCACTTATCTTCTCAACATTAAATAGAGTTTTAAAATTAGAAACGTCAAATGACCAAAAAAAAAAAAATAAAGTATGGGTAAGTGTGAAAAATTACATATCTTCTAGTAGAAAGTAATGGCCACAGTATTTAGTGAAAATGCTTTAAGAATTAAACTTTAAAAAATAGTGAGTCAAACTCAAGTTCTTGTCTAATAGGAAAGTTTTAATTTTTCTCAAGCTCTAACTTTTGAATTGTCAATGCCCTGTAACAAGTAACAAAGTTTTCACACAAAATCAGTGTACTATGACATTCTTATTTTATATGGAGATCAAGCCCTAAACCAGGGTGAGCAAACTACAGCCTACAGGTCACATAAGATTTTCTTATATAAAATTTTACTGGAACACTCCACGCCTGCTTGTTTCTGTATTGTCTGTGGCTGTGTTTAACCTACAACAGCAGAGTTGAATGGATGAGACAGACACCGCATGCCCACAAAACGTATCTGGACCCTGCAGGAAGAGCTTGCCAACCTTTGCCATAAGCCATCATTACTCATATTCACTCAGAAAATGCATATCTGGATGTATAAAGTATAAGCGTTTTTTTAAAACGTACATAAAGGTAAACAAAATGATGACCTCACTAAACGGCAGATTTCAAATGATTCTGTCTCTCTTCATACATCTGGGATTGAAATGCTCACGGCATCTGCAAATCCACATTTCCCTAGGTAATCCCACGCTGCCAAAGTTTCCTTTTTCACTTATTCCTTCCCAAACTCTCTTTTGGCTTTTAACATTTTAAATCTAAGTTCAAAAAGCCACGTATCTGCAGTTCTGATTTCCTTCTTTCTGCAACCTCCCCCTTCCTAACTTTTCCCCTCTACTGCATTTTATCAAGAAGAGTGTACGATCCAGTAAAGAACAGTAGTCAGCAGTCAGCACTAATTATGGCTCTACCAGATATGAAGTGGGAGAAAAGGATCTGGCTGCTTCTTTAAGTAAGCAGTTTATTCAAAGAACATAAAATCAGCTATGTTGTACGAGCAGGCATAGATACAATCAGTGAATGGTCCAAAATAATAGATATGCAGACAGACAAGGAACAAAAGTTTCCATGGTTGAAGGGATTTCTCCAGCCTGTTGAGAAAGGTCTAGGCAATGAGAAAGCACCTTCAAACTGCAAACTCCAGCACTCAAGACTGCACAGAGCAATAATTGACTGTACATTCATTATGAAATAAAAATTAAGACAATTTGGGTGGTGAAACAGTATATAAATTCTATTTATTTAAATTATGAAGTAATTTACTTCATTAATATTTTCCCTATCTTGATAGTTAAACATCTTCTGGCCTTAAAACTTAGAAGACTATGCAGCAAAATGAGAACATTTCAAACCCACAGAAATTGTAATAACCTATTACTAAACTTGAATCCACAATCAACACCCATGAGCAGCAGTCAAGAAATCAAATCATTTACTGCATTGAGCAAATGTGCTGCAAAAGACCTCTTTAAAGTGTTAAAAAGCACAGATGTCACTTTGAGGACTAAGGTGAGCCTGACTCAAGCCATGGTGTTTTCAATGGCCTCACTGGCATGTAAAAGCTGGACAATGAATAAAGAGGACAGAAGAAGAATTGATGCCTTTGAATTACAGTGTTGGTGAAGAATATTGAATATATCATGGACTGCCAGAAGAACAAACAAATCTGTCTTGGAAGAAATATAGCCAGAATGTTCCCTAGAAGCAAGGATGACGAGATTTTGTCTCACATCTTTTGGACACGTTATCAGGAGGGATCAGTCCCTGGAGAAGGACGTCATGGTTGGTAAAGTAGAGGGTCATTGAAAAAGAGGAAGACCCTCAATGAGATGGACTGACATCGTGGCTGCAACAATGGGCTCAAACATACCAGAGATTGTGAGGCCGGCGCAGGACTGGGCAGTGTTTTGTTCTGTTGTATGTAGGGTTGCTATGAGTTGGAACCAACTTGACAGCACCTAACAACATTCCTATACTAAGGAGCCCTGGTGGTGCACTGTTTAAGAGCTCAGCTGCTAACTGAAAGGTTGGTGGTTCGAGCCCACCCAGCAGCTCCTCAGGAGAAAGATCTGGCGGTCTGCTCCTGTAAAGATTACAGCCTAGGAAACCCTGTGGTGCAGTTCTACTCTGTCCTACAAGGTTGTTATGAGTCAGAATTGATTTGACAGCAGTGGGTTATTACTGAACTGTTTCTTTTATATACAGATCTAGCTTTTGTTTTATATAAAATTTAAAAACTTCAATATTACATTTTAAAGTAAATTTCAATACAATTTATTTTAATTTGTCAACAAATTATGATTTATAAAAAATAAAACAAAAATTATATGATGAAGAAAAAGACTGGTGGATAACATTGATTTGTTCAGTTTTTAACGTATAGAAAAAAAAATCCTTCCCCGCCTCAGTAGTAGAATGCATTTTAAAAATCATCTACCATTCTCATCAGACTTTGGTATGTCTCATCAGAGGGGCGCAGGCTGGAGAGAAGGGTGGAATATCAATCTCACAAGACACCGGCACTCTGCCTATGGCATTCCCTATTCTTCTCCTCGTCTCCACCGCCTTGGTTCAGCAGCTAATTCCTTGAGGCCCTGCGGACGGTGGCCTCTTCTGTTGCAACCCTCCTGAACTAGCCTCCTCCCTTTGGAGATTTCTTGAATGAACACGTGGATGACATACAGGCCTGTGTGTCTGTGGTGGGGAAGAGGGCTGAGGATAGACTCTGCTGCTGCTTTCTTCATTTCGGTTTCAAGGCTGCTGTGCTGGGGGGGACACTGACAGTTGTGAGGAAAAGAGCCACATAGAAAATGCTTCTTAATGATGAGAGAAAGTTAGAGCTCAACTTGAGAAATACTGCATCACCAAGTAACAGTCATCTTCACAAAACATGGCAGGCTTCTCTCTGACAAAGACAGACTTTGGGGCATGAGGGCGAGTTCACTACGTCAGCTAGAACATGGGAAGCCTATTTCCATAGGCTTTCCCGTCTGAGCAAGTAGCTACGCAGTCCATTTGTTTTGATATGAATCAGAGGTGTTTGTTAAATAACTCAAATATAAATTCATAATAAATAACTCATTATTTTGCATCTGTTTGCATTACATTTTAAAGTGACACATAATTAACATTGAATTCTTTCCAAATCCATTGTATTAATAGATCTCAATATTTTATAAGGGTAGACTTTTAAAATAAATGTTTAACCAGTAAGTAGGTCAGATGAAAATGCTATTAGAGGTCATACAACCAAGAGGAAGTTGTTTGAGTTTTTTTTAGGATTATGAAATTTTTCAGACATAGAAAAAAAGTTATGTTATTTTATACTTTTTCTATCAGAAGGTGCCCATGTTTTAAATTAGAAACAATCTAAGAATTCATGTGCGATCACTAGATAAAATGTGACCATCAGCTGTTTTATACTATAAAGTAAACTTGATCACCTTCTGAAATGAATTACTGGCTTCTAAACTAAACCTCAGAGAACAGGAATGTAAAACTCCTACATATAGTTCTAAATGACAAAGTTTAGAGATACCATTTTAAGCCATTCATATGAAACTCTGCATATCTAATGATTACTTCTTCTAAGTTCAGATCCATGACTCTATTTACTACACAAGAACCACACCTTTGTATTTAGAACTCCAAGATTTACAGAACAAGGATTTTAGCAGATTCTCATACTACAGATATGAAGAGATACACAACATAGGTGGAAAAAAAGTTAATTATTTATAGGTATAGCTCTTCCTAAGCAATATTCATCAGAAATATTAGAAAAATGTTTCCAGAAACACATATCTGGAACACAACACTGACAAATCAAAGGGGTGCAAATAGAAATTTATATGGTTTAAGTTCCCTTAAAAGCCCATTGCTGTGGAGTTGATTCCCACTCATAGTGACCCTATAGGACAGAGTAAAACTGCCCCATAGAGTTTTCAAGGCTGTAATCTTTACGGAAGCAGACTGCCACATCTCTCTCCCGAAAGTTCCCTTTGATGATTGTGAAGAACATTTTCTGTGAAGAACATCTTCGTTAGAATGAGCCTAATTCCATCATAGAACACCAGGTCATGTAATTACAAGAATAACCACTAGATGGAGGCAAAGTACTCACAGTTGGTGATGTAGCGGCCGAGAGCAAAGGCAAAATCCCTCCACAAGCAATGATGATGTTGTCTACCATTTGCGAAATGAGGTGAATTGTGTTATGTACAAAAATAATATTTTCATTGCTATTGACAAAATCCATTACTGACTTTGTGGAATGGCTAAAATAATGGAAAAACAAAATACAATGAACATTTCCTTGGTTTAAGAAGAAGTTCAGATACTTTCTAATAACAACATTTTTACAGTGATAAGTAACTAGAATATTGAAAAGAGTTAGACAAATTCAAAACAGTTACTAAAAAAAGAAAACAATTTACACTTGAGATGCACTACCAAAGAGTTAGCACTCATTTCAGCAAGGTTGTTTGTTAGCTCGTGTGTGTTGCTGTTTTGTGTGTGTGGGTGCCTGAATGTAATACCTCACTCATTATTTTGTCTGTTTGTAAAATACAGTGTAAGACATATGACTTGGTCAATGAATTTGTCTTTTTTTTTTTGCCAAAGCTGGTCATGTGAAAGTTTTTACCTTTTAGTTTAATTTTGCTGCATCACCAAAGGCTGTATCACCCACCTGTGACCAGCATGTGAAAATGCATACTGCCAGCCACAGAAGTGGCATGAGAGGGGGGAATACATGAATCCGTAAAAAGTCAAGGGCTTATTGAATAAAAAAGGTACAAAGTCCTCAAAGTAGACCAGCGGTGACACTTTCCCATACAAAATACGCACTGGAGATACCCAAAGAAATACTTTTTTAGTTCAGTGTCAGTCAACAACAATATGTACTGTTTTCTGATGGAAAAAAAATGAAAAAAGAAAAGCGATTACTCCATGATCAAAATTAAGACAATGATTCCCAACTTTTTAGAATTATAAAATATTATCTGTTACATCTTGGATCTCAAGATGTTTTCCTCTCTCTTAAAAATAAAGGCTGTCTTTTAAAATACTTAAATTGCATAGTTTCGTTTAGGGAATTGCCTGCGAGCCCCTGAAGGAAAACAGAGACACACTGTGTGTTGATGGAAGGAAAGCCGAGGATCCCTCAGGTGGAGGCTTCCAAGGAACTCAGTAAACGACAATTGCATCTTACACATTAATACTTGTATTAACAGTGTTCCAGCTTCCCTAGTTACCATCCCTAGGTAATTTAGCACACAACAATGTTAGCAGTGGAAAGACCACTGTTCACATTACACGAGTAGCCTAAGAACAAACTGATCAAAACCAAGTAAAAGCCATCTAGGCAGACTTTGGAACCCTGGTGGTGCAGTGGATAAGAGCTTGGCTACTAACCAAAAAGGCTGGCAGTTCGAATCCACCAGCCACTCCTTGGAAATCCTATGGGGCAGTTCTATTGTGTCCTATAGCGTCACTATGAGTCAGAATTGACTCAATGGCAACGGGTTTGGTTTTGGTTAGGCAGAGTTTATTGACAGCCTCCACAACAGGCATTCCATCTTCCCTGCTAACAAGAGCTAGCTTTTGTTCTGTTGTTGAGCTGGATATTAATGGGTGTAGAAAAGGTTAGCCACACCCAGCTACTGGGTTGTTAACTGAGACTGGTCTGTAGAGGCGTGCTATTATAATCCCATTCCCTTTTGCTGGTAACTGATTTGGAGATGAGCATATGATCCTGCTGGCCCATGAGACATAGGCACAAATTTCTTCAGAGGCCTCTTTTAAGGAAGAAAAAAAAAAAAAAAAGAAAGATGAGAACAAAAAGGAAGAAGAGGAGGAAGGAGGAAAAAGAAGGGCAGCCCCTGCCTTCTGATCTGGGAAAGTTCTCTACACTGAATTCATGCTTGGGGCTGAAAGGAAGCCAGGAGAAGCCAAGAAGGCCCTCTCAGCCTGAGAATGTCAGGCCCCTGCAGGGCTTCAGTTAGTGATGTGGAGTTCTGTTACGTACAGCCGTGCACTTCTTAATTTATATATACACACGTGTGAATGAAACACTCTCGTAACTGATTAACTTGTTCCATATTTTATATCGGAAAATTAGATTGAGAAGGAGGAAAGATAATGATCTATGTGCACTTCTATATTTTTTCAGTGATTATATGTGAACTGACATCTGCTAGTCATTTAAATAGTATAATCTCTAAAAACAATTTCTGTAAGGTGATTTAATATTTAATTTTAGAAGTATATTCATAATCTTACAGCCAAGGAAAAAATTAGTACATTGTATTAATTTTCATAGAAGAGACAATAATGTAGAAGCTGAACTTCTTTTTGAGAAATCTCTTGTATATATAGAAAAGGCAATGCCAGATTTCAAAGTTTTGGTTTTTAACCGTCTTAAGTCTAAGTTCTTAGATCCTTCTTGGTTTGAGCCCCAGGTGTTATAACCCTTATGAAAATAATCATGTTTCTGTCAAAAATCCAAATGTTCAATTATTTGTTTTCAAGCAGCTCATACTTTCTCATAAAATACAAACTTTCTAAAATTAAATGTCTTACTTCTAGGTAACCCACACAACAGAAACAAGAACCACTCATGTTAGCTAAACACAGCTGTGTGTGTGGTTGAGCAGGTGCGTATGAAGACAAAGGGTGTGTCTGCGTGGTATGGACTGCGTGCGAGGCTGTGTGTGTGCACGAGGCTGTGTGTGTGCGTGTGAGGCTGTGTGTGTGTGTGTGAGGCTGTGTGTGCGTGTGAGGCTGTGTGTGCGTGTGAGGCTGTGTGTGCGTGTGTGCGTGTGCACGAGGCTGTGTATGTGTGTGTGTGCTCCAGGCTGTGTGCAAGGGTGTGTGTGTGCGAGGCTGTGTGCATGTGTGTGTGTGTGCATGTGTGTGTATGAGGCTGTGTGTGAGGGTGTGTGTGCGTGAGCCTGTGTGTGAGGCTGTGGGTGTGTGTGTCACAGGGCAGGTGTGCGCGAGGCTGTGTGCGAGGGTGTGTGTGCACGAGACTGTGTGTTTGTGCACGTGTGTGCGCGCGTGTGTGTATGTGTGTGTGTGTGTGCGTGCACGTGTGCGCGTGTATGTGCGCGTGCGTGTGTGTGAGTGCTGGCCAGCAGATGAGTCTGGTCTTGCCGTTTTCTGTCTGTGACCCGATGGGAACCTTGGCTTTCCAAACATCACACAAACTGCTGCAGAATCCAGAATTCCAGAGCCCTCAGCCCTTGGATCCGGGAGAAGCAGGGAGAAGTCTAATTATTTCTAATAAATTTAATTTGTAAGTGTTATTCAGTGATACAATTTACTTAAGGATCAGTTGATGCCATTAATTAAACTCCTCATTCTCCTAACTGAAAGCAGTCTCACTGATAGAAAAGAAGTCTGTCTACCTCCTCCAAACATGTACGTCTGTTTCTAACGCAAACAGCAGGTCGGTGAGAAGCCGCTGGTGCATTGGGGACCATTTGAACTCCGGAATCCGAAACATGGTCGTGCGGGGACCGGGGCTGAACTGGCGCCGCTGTTCCTCCGTCATCGGCATCCCTCGGAATCCCAAGTCAACTCTGAGGTCTCGGTCCTGTTGGGTGACAGATCGACCCTGAACAGCCTAAGGAAAGACACGGTAACCTTTTGTAAAGAAGAAAATAAACACCCAAAATCAATACGAAAACAGTGAGTATGGCCGAGAGGATGGTGAGTGCAGTAAAGGTTAGGATAGTTGACTTCTGTCCTTCACCCGCTAATTCTCTGCACAGGAGCCTTCTGAGCTGAGAAAGCTACCACTGTCACTTCTATTCTACTGTTGCAAAAATGAGGCAAAGTAATCAAATACTTAAGATTACCACCAAAGTGCACATCGAAAGCTAGATCCTCTTTACCTCTGTTTATGGGGTCTTTATGTTAGACCACTCAACTTCCTTATAGAAGTTAGCATATGAAGTAAGCTGAATATGTGTCAAACACAAAATCAGAAGAAATATTACTTGAATAGAGTCAAGTTAATTTCAAAGACTACTTCACTCACAAGTCTTCAAATGTAGAAAAACGAATGTACTTGTTAAGTTAGAAAACAAACAAAAAGCCTATGAACTCTGAGTAGAAATCAGGCATGCCTAGAGATTATTATGTTCCATCAATAATGCACTGCAGTTCTATTTAAATCTCTGCTGAATTCAACTTGTCCACCCCCTGTCAATTGTCACTGCAGTACAATTGCCTCAAAAACAGAAATTGGCAGTTAACAGAAAAAAATTAAAAAAAAAAAAAGAAATACCTTTCCCACAAAAAACATGTATTTTTAAGGATTCTTCTGAAGGTACAACGACACTAGTAAAGCACAGTTTACCCTTGAAAACAGAACTCCACTGGAAACACGTTAATTCATCTTCAGTGATCAAAAGCTGAGCTAAAAGCCCCAGGAAACAACAGAGACAAAATCATTAAGGGGTAAAAATATTACTGTGATTTCTTAACCTCTTAACTCTAAGGTTGTTTAGCCTAGAAACTTGTAACTCAAAGCTCAACAATTCAAATCCACACCCGAAAACCTTCTCTGGTTTTGGCTTTATTCTGGTGATGCCCGACTGGAGCACCAACGTTTGCTCACCACCAGGCCTAAGAGTCTTGAATTTTCTTACAACAAATTCCTATCCATGTGGTTGTAGAAAACAATTCTCACTGCTAATAATTCCAAATTCTCTCAGCTATAATCCCTTTATCACAGGGCTGTTGTGAGGATTCAATCTGAAAACACAGAGCACAGTGCCTGGACCATAAACCCAAACTAACCAAACCCGTTGCCGTTGGGTCGATTCCGACTCATCGCGACTCTACAGGGCAGAGGAGAACTGCCCCATAGGGTTTCTAAAGCTGTAATCTTTACGGAGGTAGACTGCTGCATCTTTATTCCACAGAGCGATGGTGGGTTTGAACTGCCGACCCTTCAGTTAGCACACAAGTGCTTAACCACTGCACCACCAGGGCTCTTCTGGACCCTAGTAGGCACTGGGTAGGTAACAGTCTCCTTTTCCCTCCCCTTCACTTCACTGACCACTTCAATCTGGGCCTCAGTCCTCTTTTCTAGAGGCCACAGAACAGGGTTGGGCCTGCAGCTTAAAAGGTTAAAGTTGATCAAGTGTTCAGAATGAAGCCCTCGAGTACAGAACGTGTGGGTCACAGAGTGATGTGTAGTCAGAGTCACAAAATGCTAGAACTGGTAAAGGCTGGACAGGTCATATTTTGATCTAGTACAACCTCTTGTACCAGATGAGGAGACTTAGGCCCAGAGAGGTTGTCAATGTTACACAGACAGCAACTGGCCGAGTTGGAACTGGAATTCAGATATTGGTGTTTTCTTCTATACATACCACCACACTACTCAATTCCATATACAGAGAGACCTGAGAAAGCTGGAACCTGTGTAAGGCAGAAACCTGTCAGAGAAGGAAAACGCAAATATTCTTCACTAAAACAAGCAATGGGAAGGTGGTAAGACCGCACCCTGTCAGAGGCAGAAAACTTGCAAGATCCAGAAAAACAAGGCCGCCCCGTGGAGTCCCGGCTCTCACAGGCTTCACTGTGTTACCGCTGTGCCATAACTGAATATTAACATGGTGTAATACGTACGAAATCAGTCTGCTCCTCTGCTAAAGTCGCTGTGAGTCTGAATCAACTCGATGCCAATGGGTTTTTTTTCTTTTTTCTGTGCTCAAATCCTAAAGTCTGTTCCACATGTCTTATCCGTCTGTCTCCAGACCTCGCGTGGGAGAACTTACCTGGGTTGTAGCGGTTGTCTGGATCTTTCGGACTTCCTTTCCGGATTCTTTGCTGTCGTCAGATCTCTCGGTATCTGAGATTATACTCCCAGCATCAATATTTGGTACAGTTTTGCCACCAGAAGGCTCAGTTTCCAGAGTGACAGTCATTTCAGCATCTTCTAACCCCTTAGACGATGACGTTATGTCTCTTTCAGAAACGCCGCTCATTCCATCTGAAGTTGTGTGGATTCTGAACTCCTTTTCCTCTATTATACCTGATGTACAAGTTAAGTCTACACTAGCAGTCACGTGAGCAAGCAGTCCAAGATCATCACCAACACCCAGATGGACTTGCGTGTCTTGGATATTTGAGATCATGTGATTGCTAGAAAGTTCCGGAAGGAGCTTCTCCTCCTGTTTGGGTATTTTATCAAAGAGAAATGAGGTGCTACTGTGAGCAAGTTCATCCTTCTCATCTGCTAATGTGATCAGCGGACCATGATCCTTCTCTTCAGCTTTTTTCATGACACCGACGCTGCCGTGGACGTTGTTCTGGAGTTTCTCCACAGCCGCACTATATACGTTATCCAGCAAAGAGCCCACCTCCACAAGGGCACCATTCTCTCCACCTGCCGCAGTCTCTGGAGAGAAATCCATATCATCAAGCTTTACTTCTGTTGCTTCCACTTTTTCTGCTTTTATATCAACTAAAAGATCATGCACTTCCACATGGACACTACTTCCGGGTCTGTCTGAATGTCCGAGAATATCATCTGGCACTTTTGTTGACATGAGTAAGTCTCTCGTATCTGTGCTGACAGGGTAATCCGTCTCGCTTTCTGGGCTCTGGCTTTGCGAAAGATCTTCTATCTCTCGAATCTCCATTCCACCCTTGGCTCCTGCTGTCTGCGACGAGAGACCGGATATGGTGCTCACGCTCCCTTTCTTTCCCTTTTTAATGTTTTCCTCCTCTTGTCTTTGATACTCCTCGTACATTTTGGCTAGGTATTCCTTATGGGCTTCATAGGTGACCTTAGGAGCAGGAAGTAAAGGGAAATGTTTTACATGAATGCGTTTTGTATGTTAAGAAGAAAAGATACATGATATAAACAAAATGATGGTGATAATAGCAAAAACGGTGGCAGGAATTTTAAAATTTCAAACTTGGCACATATTAATCCTAAGACACATACTTGGTTTCAACAAGTAATTGGACGTAATCATCAAAAATAATTACACATGACTTATACATGACCGGCCCAAAGTCTCACCTGCAGGTAAACTAACAATATTAAAGATTCAAATACAGTGACTGTTTCTTTGAGGTTAAGTATTTCGGTGATACCTATGCTAATACACCAAGATACCTGAGTTTAAACAGAGAATGGAAGCTAATAATTTACAACACCCAAAGTACTATTCCTGTCAGTTCTCGCCATCTATTGCTCCTATGTGTGCCTATCACAACAATCGAAGTTAAAAACACAAACACACACACGCATTTATAAATACATACATGTATAAACTTTTAAAACAAACAATTCTATCTTTATCTAGCCTACTTTGAATTTGCTACTTCATGTCGGCTTGTTTAAGAATAGCTGGGATATATATTTCTTGTACCACGTTACCGTGTCTTTTCCTTTAAAACATTCTTTTCAAATTTGTTAATGCAATAATAAAAGTGAGGTGCCAGTATGTTACAAAATGTAAATTTATATCAGAAATAAAAGCTCCTCTAAGATTAAAAAGAAAAGTATTCAAAATGTTTTGTGATAAGCACGTGTTATTAATTTATATTTAAATGATAGAATAACAGAATTTTAGATTCTGAGAGACCGTCCTTGGGAGATTATCGAAATACTATAAGCTCTTAATTTGATAAAGAGGAAATAAAACCTCAAAGCAGGGGTTGGCAACCTATATGTTGAAATATCCACCCACCACCATCAAGTCAGCTCTGGCTCATAGCGATGCCATAGGACAGAGCAGAAATGCACCATAGGGTTTCCAAGACTGTGATATTTATGGACGCAGATCGCCACATCTTTCTCCCGCGGAGCAGCTGGTGGGTTCGAACTGCCAACCTTTTGGTTAGCAGTCAAGTGCTTTAACCACAGCACCACCAGGGCTCCCATATTTAAATACAGACATACAGATACTTAGAACTAAAAATAAAGAAAACACAAAGCATTTTAAAATATCAATAAAATCAAACACTTTAAATGTATTTCTGATTCACTTGAAATGAAAACAATTTCTAACTATTTTATAAAAAGTCTAAAAAAGTATATGTTAGAAAATATTTTACGAAGCTTTGCTAGGAGCTCCGGGCATGCCTTAGTTAAGAGCAACTGGCTCACATGCATGTTCTCGGATCTCCTATAAAACAGACGTGTCACATCAAATACCAGGTCTCAAATCCCTGATTTATAAAACTGGGGTGTGAATGAAGTGATCACTAAGATACCATCAAGCTCTAACATTCTAAGAACAGAGGGGTAAAAACAGAGAAAACTGGAATAAAGGAATCTGCCATCATCTTCGCTGCCCACGAGAGGGCAGCAGATGATGGTTTACGGGCACTTCACCGCTGCTGACGCCCTGCAGAGAGAAAACCGAGTCCTGTTACCTTGGAGTGGGCTATGGAGAGCGTGTCCACCCAGACTCTCCAGCCTCCCCATTCGTATTTGATTGCGTGATACAGAAGAATCCGGAAGATGTTGTAGACCATCTCGGTGACCTTCTGTTCCTCGGAATTTTTGGGATTGATATAGCCAAGAGAAAACATCCAGTCCTGCCACACGGAACACTGCAATAAGCATCTGAGGGGGAGGAAAGAGGGTCTCATTATAAGTACCCCAGTTAAATTAGAATGCAGTCTTCAAAATTTAAACAGTGAAGATACGATCTGCCCTCAGTCAAGCAAGCCACAGTCACTCTAAACATTCCGTTGTCTAGACCTACAGTGACCTTCCCTCGTCTCTCTACCATGAAAAATCCACGTGATCAGTCAAAATCCCTTTCCTAACTCTTGCAGTCAGATTTAGTTATTGTTTCTCTCACTTCTCATCATGCTTAGCACTTACACTACACTTAACACATTATAAACTAATCACTGCTCCAGGGTTATCTTTCCCACGACATTGTACTAAGACTGTGAATGAGCACGACAGTGTTCCAAGGCCCAGCACAGTGCTTTACACATAATAATATTCAATCAGTATTTGTTAAAGACTTAGTGACTGTGGCAAGTCCATGGCCTTAGACTCTACCCTACTGTTCTAGCTAGCTAGCTTAAAAATGAATGACATCAGTTACATGACAAACTGAGGAAAAGAATAAGCGAATGTAGGCAAATACAACTAAATGCTTAAGTAGTCTTGGGGATAAGTAAATATCACCAAAAGAAAAAGTACATTTTAAATAAGGATCTGTGTATATGTACGTTCATATATATAATTAAAACATCACAGATGTTGTTGTGTGTACTGACTCAAAATGACCCATTGCAACAGGGCAGAACTGCCCCATAGGGTTTCCTAGGCTGTAATCTTTATGGGAGCAGATTGCCAGGTCTTTTCTCCCTTGGAGCTGCTGGTTGATTTGAACTGCTGACCTTTTGGTTAGCAGCCGAGTGCTTAACCACTACACCACCAAGATTCCTTAATAAATATAAGCATATAAAAATAAGTCAAAATATACTGAATACAGACTATATCAAATAAATTTACAACGCCTTTCTAACGATTGTGTGTACTCAGCAACATGCGAAAGATGTGAAAAGTTTTTATTGAAAAAGACTGAAACTTAAGGACAGAGAATATAAGATTAGTTATGGAATAAAGGTGTGTTATAGTACTCATATTGCTGACCTTCGATTTTCACGGCTGTTACTGAAAAGTTTTATCATGTCCGATAAGAACAGACGGCGAACTTCCATCAGGTCTGCACTTGGGGTAGAGTTTTTCAGTAAACTTGCCACCACCTTCAGAATCACTGTAAATGACAAAGAAACTTGTATTGGAGATTGGTAACTGCATCTTCTACTCAGAAAGCATTTACTGATCTACATCCCAACCCTCAGCACCACGTGAGGTGAGACACCACCCCGACGTAGGTGGTTAGAACGAGTACTGATTTCCTCTCACAAGTTACCCCGTTACAAGTGCATTAAACAAAGATCTGCCATTTGCTCACTTGGGTTCTGAATCTTCACTGTAGAATCTGGCTCTGGGTGTGGCTTGTGTACAACTTGAGTGCATACTTGCTCTGTCAAGATCTGAAACAAAGAATTTAGACTTCATTTACAAAATAACTGAAATAACAACAGTAAAATATAGATACACACAGAATCTATAAAAAAAAAAAAAAAAGGCAGTGCTGTTCATTTCAAAAGAAATATCTTTTACAGGGTCTGAGGATTCCCGCATACTCAAAAAGTTTTTAACTCTGTATTTCTCAAATTTTATTTTTTATGGATAAAGACAAAACCAAAATTAATATCTACAGAAGAAAACACTCATTAGGAAATACATGAATTTATTTTTTCAAATACCTTTTCAATATACATCCTTAGTATACCTATGGAGAACCTGCTGGCATACTGGTTAAGAGCTTGGCTGGGAACCAAAAAGGTCGGCAGTTCAAATCCACCAGCAGCTCTGTGAAAAGCCAGTGGGGCAATTCCACTCTGGCCTGCAGGGTCGCTATGAGTCAGAACCAACTTGACGGCACATAACGACAACAACAATATACCTATACTGTAACTTGCAAACATTTGACTCTTTGTATCTCCATTAACATAAAAATGAGAAAATAATAAAATAATGTCTGAGCCTAGGTTCCTATATCAAAATGAAGTATGAAAAGAGAAAAATATTCATAAAAATGTGACTCGTGATTTACTAATGAGTTGTTTTTAGTTCCCTTCAAAAAACAAATAATGGTAAAAGTTGGACAGAAAAAGGAAAGACAGAACTGTAGAATTTTAACTTCTCGTCAGCTTCGCTAACACCGACC